TGGCCTGCCCCTCCTTGCCAGGCTGCTGGTCCCCTTTGCTGGGCCGCTTTAGGTGACCTGGAGTCTCTGGTCCCTGGGAGAGGCAGCACCATGTCTTGACTCTGTGCCTTTCTGTTTACCTGCCTCTGTTGCCCTTCATCTCTGCTTCTCACACACGCACCCTGAGTCGGCCTCATAGGAAGCCCCAGTCCTGGAAGGTTAACCCCAGCCTGCTCTGTCAGGTCCCAGGGCTAAAACTGAGACACCGGCAAAGGAAGGACAAGCACACAAGGAAATAGCCGAGAGTGGGCAGAGTCTGGGATGGACCATGGCCCACAGTAGATTTGGGGGTTCAGTCTGGGACAGGTGCCCAGGATTCTCAGGCCGCATCTTGGCCCATTTCCCCACCTTCCTCAAGCTGGGACTCTGCCAAGGGCTGATGCATCAGATAGAAATCAGGATATACTCAGTGTGGGAGGTGGGGGTACAAGGAGCTGGCCTGGAGCACCCCCCATGAAGCCAAGCCCTGCAGGAAAAGTGAGCAAGCAGTTGGACCTGCTGTGTGCTCTTCCTCTGCCCCCCTCATTGGAAAAGCTCCTGTAGGGCTGAGCTGGGCAGGCAGTTGGGACCAGGCTGGGCAGGAGGAAAGGCTAGGCAGGGGGGCGGGTTGGCCAGCTGAGGCTCTGTCAAGTTGGGCAGGGGCCTCTTACCTCCCAGACTCCACTCACAGCTCCCATCCATGCCTCTTTGTCCTCTAGGTTTTCCGCAGAGCAGACAAGAATGGTGAGTGTGGCTTTCCCTGGGCCCCACAGTGGGAGGAACAGTGGGGGACATCATGGAGGCTTGGGAGGATTGGGGGTTTTGGGGCGCAATCTAGAATGGAGAAAAATTTGGGGGACCCAAAGCAAGAGAATCAATCAAGGCATCCTTCCTGGAGGAAGTGCTATTTTGAGCCAAGTTTGGCTGGATGAAGAGTGGAGGGAATGTAGTTTAGCCAGAGGCTGAAAGTAGAGGCTTTCATGCAGTGCCCTGGCACAGAGGTACGTACCTGTACCTTCCTGTATATGACTGATTTCTACCCCATTTCACAAACAAAGGAACAGGGGCCCAGAGAGGTAAAAGCAGGTCGCCTGAGGTCACACATCCTTTAACCCAGGTCTACATGGTGCTTGGTCCCAGGCTCCCTGTGTGAGAGGCTGGGAAATGTGGGCTAATGGGGATGAGGCCCTGTGGGGAGTTTTACTCTTAGATTTTTAGCGGGTTCAGTAACGTTCCGTATGACCCACTGTCTGGATCCAGGGAGGGCCTGGGCATGATAGAGCTGGCTCCAGGGAATCAGCTCCTCCTGCCCCGGGTCCTGGGCGGTCGCAGACGCAGGTCTAGGAAAACCTTGAAAGTAAAGCAGGGGACCCTGCAGGCAGGTTATTGCCCACAGGTGACCCAGAACAGCCCACTGGACCCTGATTGGCCAGGCGAGGATCTGAGCTGAGGCAGCCAGCCAGCCTTGACCTCACCTCCATCGGGCTCTTCAGACCCTCTTGAAATAGGGTCCTGTCCCTACCCTTTGGCCCTTTAGGTCTCTTCAGATTGGTAGAGACCATTTGTCCCAATCCATTGGTCAGGACGCATAGTCTCATTTGGATCAGAGCGTTCTGTCCGATCCCCCTGCTTAGAGACTGACAGGCCAGCTCCCCAGTGTCTCTGGCCACCCACTCGAGTGCTCTCAGCCTTTGTACATGCCCCGGTGACAGGGAGGTTATTCACTCGGGAGCCAGTCTGCTGCTTCTCACAGGGGCCCCAGCCCTTGAGAAGCTCTCAGCAGCCTCCCTGTGGCTTCTCTGTGAAGGGCCGGGGTTCACAGTACAAAGGCTGTCGTCATCCTGGGGCCAGGCTGGCCAGCATGTGAGGCACACTCAGCCCCCCACGTCCTCCAAGTGACATCTCGGCCCTGCCATGATCAGGCCGTGTCCCAGGCTGTCCATTTGTTTCTTCATTTGGCAAACATTTATTGAGTCCCTACCCAGTGCCATGTGTGTACCCCCTTGGGTACATGCAAAGTGGTCTCTGCTGCCTTAAGTGGGCCTCTCTAGCGGCTCCTGCCCTTTTGTCCCCAACAGCCAGGCCCACCACCAAGCTCAGAATCACATTCTACCTGGCTGGGTGGGTGTGATATGCTGTGAGGCCTTTGGGGGCCTGGACCTGGTGGCAGGGGTCAGCCAGGGGTCAGGGATATGGACTCTGTTCCCTGTCCACCCCCAGATGATGGGAAGCTCTCGTTTGAGGAATTCCGGAATTACTTTGCTGACGGGGTTCTCAGCCCTGGGGAGCTTCGGGAGCTGTTCAGCAGCATTGATGGGCAGTCCACTGAGTGAGTACAAGGGGAGATGGAAGAGCCGTGGGTAGATGGTGCCTTACGGAGGACAGAAGGAGAGGGGATGTAGGGGGAGGGGTGTCCGGGCTCAGTGCCAAGTTTCACCCACCCACTCACTGCCTCCCTAGCTTCAGCCTTGCCCACCACACTCCAACTAGGACCTTAAAATAGCCAGACCTGAGTCACCATCCGTGGTTCAGCCCACAGGTGCCCCCTCCCCATTCCTGCTTCCTGCAGGAACCAGAGGATGCCTGGGGACAGCTGGGGCCCGCCTGCTCCCACCCATGGATGCAGGTACATGAACACGCACATACCACCCCACGTGTGCTCCCACATCCACAAGCCTTAGCACGAGTTTGCATGCCTTCCTCCCTGTGCTGCCTCACATGGCTACGACACGTACACAGCTGTCCCTCCCTCTCACTTCCCTTCTCCCCTCATCTCCTTAGAATAAATTCTGAGTGCCCTAGCTGGTTTCACTCAGTGGTTAGAACATTGGCCTGTGGACTGAAGGGTCACAAGTTCGATTCCGGTCAAGGGCATGTACCTAGGTTACAGTCTCGATCCCCGGCCCTGTCGGGGCACCTATGGGAGGCAACCAATAGATGTGTCTCTCTCACATTGATGTTTCTCTCTCTCTGTCTCTTCCCCTCCCTTCTATTCTCTCTAAATCAATTGAAAAAATATCTCCAGGTGAGGATTAACAGCAACAAAAAGAATACATTCTGAGGATTGGGCCCACCCTTGTCTGCACCCCCTGCACCTCACCACCAGACACTCCAGTCACATTCCTTGTCCTTCAAGGCCTGACATAGGCAGCCCCTCCTATAGGAAGCCCTCCCTGACCTACCAAGTAACACCCCATGCCTTCTCTATTTTCCCAGCCTTGGCTTCCCCTTCCCAGCTCTGACCACTCCTCTCTGGCCTCTGTCCACATCTGTCTCTCTTGGCCTGAAATTCCCTTGGAGGCCAAGAGTGGGTCTGAGTTTCTGCCCTCAGAGAGTGTTTTATGGGGCAGTAGTATCCTTGCTCCCTCCCACCACCACCCCCGCCCCCACCACCCCTGCCCCACAGCCTCTGTCCACTGAGCAACTTAACCTGGGGTGGAGTCAGGAGTTGCCTCCTTGTCAGGCTGAGCTGGGTGGGGAGAGGGAGAAACGTTGGCTTCAAAGTCCCAGTTCACCAGGCTCAGATGTGAGGGTCTGAAGGGCACCTTCTCTTTTCTCCACAGCAATTTGGAAACGGAGAAGCTGTGTGGTGAGTAAGCCCACTGGAGCTCTTGTCTCCCGGGACCTCTGGACACTTGGGTGTGATGGGGGGCTGTTGCTGGTCCCTGATGAGTAGGATGGGCTGGGTTCAGCATATGAGGCCTGGTTGGCTGTTGAGGAATTCTCTGTTGGGTAGATGGGGGCAGGGCGGGAACCTTCGAACACCCTCTCTGCCCACAGACTACTTCTCAGAACACCTGGGTGTCTACAGGCCTGTGCTGGCTGCGCTGGAGTCCCTGAACCGTGCAGTGCTCACTGCCATGGACACCACCAAGTTGGTGAGTGAGAGAGCTGTTATGATGGGTGTAGGGCCCCAAATGAGTTCAGGGGGTCTGCTGTGCTGTGGGAGCCTCCACTGTCTTAGGCTACTGAGCTAGAGGGCTGGGTTCAAATCCTGGCTCTCCCACTTTCTGTTTGTGTACCTTTCCCTCTCTGGGCCTCAGTTCCCTCATCTGTAAGCTGGGGATAAAAATAGGGCCTGCCTCCCTACGCTTGTCAAGTAAATGAGAATGAAGGCAGGGATTTTTGTCTGTCTTCTCCATCCCCAGCACTCAGAACTCTGCCTCGCACATAGTACGTGCTTAATATCTGGAGCTGCTGCTACTACTGGTTTTTATTATTGGCCAGACCTGACTATTGGAGGGTATCACGCCTAGGCCTCAGTCGGGATGGGTTGGGGGTGCGGTGTGCTTGCACGTGTGTCCACAGGCCCATGCTGGTGTGCAGAGCCTGGTGGGGGTGGAGCCGGCCTGAGGACGTTAGGGAGGATTCAGCATGTGTTCACCCACGTTTGTGTGCACGTGTGTGCGCGTGTGCGCAAGCGTAAACAGTGCTCACAGCCAGGGCTCCAGGCCTTTGTCTGGTGACTTCAAAAAGCCCACACCACCCATGCCTTTGTGTGTTCCTTTTAAGAGATGTCTACGCTTCCCTTTGTCCCATAGCTTTTAATAAGGGGGCAAGGAGGGAGCAGTGAGCAAGCCTGGCTTTTTTTGTGCCTGATTTTCTATGGAAGGGGAAACCGACACCCTCAGCCAGTGGGTGATCGGCTGAGGACAGTGCTTCCCCTCCGGTTGCTTTCACATGGGATTTAGTAGCTTTTCAAAGGGTCAGTCACCCTTTGGGGTCTGGCATGGGATGGGAACCCAAATGGTACTGTGCCATTTGGGGTTGGCGTATTGTGGCAACTTCTGTATCTGTGGCCTGAACACTTGTGTGGGCATCAGCTTCCTTATTGCCATAGAAACAGGCCCTGGTCGTGGGCAGCTGGAGTAGTTAGGGGAATTCAAACTGCAGGTTATAGTGAGGGCCCCAGACCACCTCCTCCTGGCCCAGAAACAGAGAGGGGGTGACCCATCACCACACAATGACTCTGCGAGCTCCAGTCACCTGATACTTTTATCTGGCACTCGATGCCTTTGATAGAACTTCAGCTTAGCCCGCTAAGCCTGTGCCTCTGCAGCCCGCTGGTGGCACCACCCCTTCCAGTCCAACATGACTCAGTTGAAGACTTCGTGCACCAGCCTGGAGCCACACTCGTGGTACATGGCCCGGGTCATCCATTGGCGTTGGAAGTTGTGCAGTGAAGCCACCATGGAGCCACCGGTCCACACGGCTGTTCCTCGCCCAGGCTTGACCACCAGGTGTGGCTGCAGTGCCCCATAGCCATGCTTCTGGCACTGCGCTAGTAGCTCCATCTCCAGGCGCTCAGTGAAACCAGGGAAAAGTGTGGAGCCACCGGCCAGCACCACAGTGTCAGCCAGCCTCTTCCGCAGTGTTTCAGGCACCTTCCGCAGGGCCCAGAAGGCCAGTGTCGACAGTCCTGGCTCCATGTGGCCCAGCAGAGCCGGCTGAAAGATGGGTTCAGGGCAGCGGAAGCGCTCGCTGCTGAGGTAGACAGAGCATCCATTGCCTAAGCAGACACTGGCTGGATGGTGGCGGGCAGGGTTATGGAGGTCACCCTCAAAGTCCAGCGAGACGTAGCAGCAGCGCTTCTTGAGCTGTGTGATGGCCTTTCGGGGTAGGGTCTGCAGCAGTCGATCAGGGCACGCTGCCACCAGCAGGTCCCGCAGGTAGCGAGAGAGGGTGGTGCCTGCCACCTCCAGTCGGAAGGTGGCCTCGTGCCACGAGTGGCCCGCGTAGATGGGCGTGGCGTGGCACACCCCCGCTCCTGCCTCCACAGCCAGCCCGCTGAATGCGCCGGTGGAGCAGACAGCCAGCAGCGCAGTGCTGGCCATGTGGCACGCGGGCACTGCCAGGTCCTCGAACAGCAGCTCCGCTATCCTCTCGCGGCTTGAGGGTGGCGCCGAGGGCGAGTCGCTCACCAGCACCGGCCACTGCTCTGGACACACCCGCAGACCGCCTACCAGCAGGCGCTCCCAGAGCCCCTCCAGCGCCTCCCAGTCCACCACCATGCCATGCTTGATGGGGTGCGCCCGCTCCACGCCACCCACCAGCTCACAGCCCAGCGCCCCGGGCAGCACGGGCCGGTTCCAGCTGGGCACTAGGCTGGAGCTCTTCAACACCAGACGTGGCTGGTTCTCGCCGGCGAAGCCCGCCTTGGTGAACCCCGATCCCTGGTCCACCACCACTGCGATGCGGCCCAGTGAGGGCGGCCGGACCCGGCGCCTCCCCGACACCGACGCCACCTTCTGGGCTCAGCTGCGCTCCCAGCGGCGGTTCTGTCCCAACCGGCCTAGATGAAGGCCCGCCTTTCAGCTCTTGACTCTGTCCCCTGGGACTAAATCCCTACCTTAACGGACTAGATAACTACTTTCTCAGTTTCTGGCACCGCTTTTTTCTGCCCAGAGTGGATGTCTCTTTTCAGCTCTTGGCTCCTTGAGAACCCAGGAGTCCAGCCCCAGGCAGTGTCTTGGACCTCTCACCTGGGCTTGACAGCAGTAGTTCCTGGTTGTGGAGATGGGAGGGGTCATCAGAGAAGGAAAAGAACTTGGATCCGACTAATTGTGACCTCAGTCCTCAGCCTCTGCTGTGCTTCTGCAGCCCCCTCCCCCCAGTGAAAACACCCTGGACCCATCCTTTCTCCTGGGACAGGGTCAAGGGCAGTGAATTGGGCATCTAGGGGTCTGGCTGCAACTGCCCAGCACAACCAATGGTTCTTTCCCCAAACCACTTCACATGATCAGATCTACTCTGGCCAAATGCAGGGCTCCTCCCCTTCCAGTGCTGAAGAGAAAGCTCTTAATCACACATCTACAGCCACTGGAGTATCTGTGTGCTCGTCCTTGGGCCCAGGCAGCCCTCAGAGGGACTAATTCAGGGACTTCCGCCTATGGACTCGGGTGGGCCTGAGTTTGTGACTCAGTTCTGAAGCTGACTCACTGAGCAGGCAAGTCCTAATCTTTCTGAGCTCAGTTTCTTCCTCCAAAAGGTAGAAATCTTCATACACAGGCAAGAGGCCACTTCTGTCTCTGCAGAGTCTCATTCTCTTTAGGACCATTTTGGTTGCAAGTTGAAGACCCACTCACGAGAGTGTAAGCTAAAATAAGGATTTTACTTCAAGGATCTTGTATGTATTATGGATACCAAAGGCAAGGGTGAAATCAGGTTTCAGGAGCAGACTGGGAGCAGGGCCTGACTGCAGGGAACACAGGATGTGCACTGTCTGTGTTTTTATTCTTCTGAAGATTGGCTTCAGCCCGTGCATGTTCATGTAGAAAATAGTCTCTTATAGCCCCTGAGTTCCTGTCCCAGGGAAGGGGCTGATAGGACCATGGCTGTGGCCAGGAGGTGTAGTCACACTGAGGAACTTGGTTACTCTGGTTGTAATTATGTGAATGGTAGGGAAGGGCCAGTTCTTAGCAGCAGGGGAGATGCTATGGGTCATGAACCTCCAGCATGATGCAGGCAACGGGAGGAGACGCTGACAGTAACAAAAGCACATCTTCAGCAGAAGCTGGACCTGTGGCTTTCGTGAGCTGGGACCTTCACCTGCTGCATCTGCCCCAAAAGCCATTCTGAGGTTGGTTGCCAGTGGAAAGCGGGCTGCAGATTCGAAGGGCCGGGGAGGCTCTAGGTTCTGGAGCTGGGTTTGGGACCAGGACAGTGAAGAGAAGCAGCTGTACACAGCAAATGTGCTGGGCCTCTTGTGGGTGAATTAGGGGGGTGAGCCTCAAATTGGAGCCCACAAGTGGCAATATAGCCAGAGGGGGGGTGAGGGTAGAAGTCACCGAGAAGCCGGAGAGAGGAAGATAGGTTGGGGGTTGGGCTTGCGAATCCCAGGAATAGGTTTGGGTGTTTCCCTGTGGGCCATGGAGAACCAGTGCGAGCTTATGAGCAAAGTGAACTGCCCTACAGGTAGTTAAGTGATTTTGAAGAAGCCGTTGGCTGCAATGTGGAGAGAGGATGGAACAGGGTAGGTGGGAGACTAAGTTCCCTTGTGGGTTACCAAGCAGGGATGGCAGTGAAGGGTCCAGCGCCTCTCCTGGGTCCTCGCAGGCAGAATGTGCCTCAGGCCCCACCTCTGCTCACAGTAGGACCCTCACAGTTCTCCCCGGTGGTGGCTGTTTGCCTGGGACCGTGGCTCTGCCTAAGGAGGACTTGTGAATGCTGGGCTCTTGGCGATGCCATGCTCAGCTGAAGCAAGCCCCTCCTAGTGTGGCCAACCCTGGGCTTGCTGGAGCTCACCTCCCTTGGGTCTGCAGACCGGGCAAGGTCTGACCCAGGCCTGAGCTGTGGGGGGAAGGATCATCCTCCCTTCTCCGCTGCGGTAGGATGTGCCCTCCCCAGGGGCAGGGGCTCTAACTTTTGGGTCACAAGGAAGGAAAAAACAGTTGGCTCCCGCGGTGGCCATTGCGCACGCTGTTCATCCCCGTCTCGCTCTCGCGCCAGACACCTGACAGAGCGCAGGAGCCAGGGTTGCCATGCGCTCTTTATTGGGTCGGGGCCGCTTGCACGGATGCTCCTGGGTAGGGTCCGAAACGCTGTGGATCCCCAGGCGCGCGCAGGGCCACGGCCAGCCCCGCGAGGCCTTGACCCCGTCCCCGGTCCTGCCCGCTGCGCGGAGCCCCGCCTCCTCCAGCAGCGCGTCCGGGGCCGGGAGCTTCATCTCGAGCTCGCGCACGCGCGCCCTCGTGCCACTCTGCGCCGTCGCCTGCTCCCCGCATCCTGGGGGGCGCCGCCAGGGAGCCCGCCAGGACGCCCACCGAATCCTCGCTCCGCCGCCCGGGCCGCGCGACCGGGCCCGCCGCCGCCTCGGCTAGCTGCTGCCGCTCGTCCGCGGAGAAAAGCAGCAGGATCTTGGTCTGGGGATGGGGCAGCGGGGAGGGAAATGAGTGCCCCGCCCTCTTCCTGGGGACCCTTACCCGCCCTGGGCCCATCTACCAAGACCAGGCCCTCTACGTTTCCGGGACCCCGCCGTCCTTCCATGCCCCGGAGGGGGATCCCCACTCTGCCCCATCCCCAGGGACCCCCGCCTCTCGGAAACCCTTCCCCACCCAGGCTGACCTGAGACCTCGCTCTGTCCACCGTTCTGGGGTCCCTGTCTGCCCGCTTGAGGGGAAAGGTAGCATGTTTTGAGGCGAGGAGTTGGAAAGGGGGCGTAAGGAAACTCTTGGTGCTCATCTCCCAGCGATGCCAATCATGCTGGGACCTCCGCCCATGCATCCATCCAGGTTGTGAGAATCCCCTCCTGCCCACCCTTCTGACTCCCAAGTCTCATCCATCTCCTGGAATCCCTACCCTCTCTGCTGGGCTTTTAGGGCCCCATCCATACCTACGTGCGTTTCTGGGACCCTCATCCTCAGGAGGGATTCTCTAACCTCATAGGCCATGGCCCCAGGACTTTGGGCCACAAGGCCTAGACTCCCAGCATCCCCGCCTGCCCCCTCCCACCCTCCACTTACGCCTGGCTTCTGCCTGAAGTGGCTGAAGAACTGCTGTTTCCCCAAGGCCTTGTCCCTATCGGGTGGCCTCTCCTTGCCAACCTGCTTGGACACTTTGGTCCTTTTGTGGGAACTGTTGTTTCCCATGGCAGGACTGGTTAACACTGGGGCCCACGGCCCATGCTGCTCTGTCCTGCCCTCTGGCTAGGGGACCCCTGCCCTAGCATTGTCCCAGAGAGGCCGCTTTGTGACCTCATTGGTCGACCTCACCAGCTCCAGGCTCTGAGCATCTCAGAACCCACAGGTGAATCTTGGCTCCATTCACTCTGTGATTTCTGGCCTTTGTTTCTCAACTGTAAAAGGGCTAATGATCATAAATGAGGCGATGTTTCATTATTGGTCCAATAATGAAGGTGCTTAGTGATGAGTACAGAGGAATTTCTGTGGCCTAAGTTTGAATTCTGGCTCTGTTCCTAACTAGATCTTGGCCAAGGTAATCAACTGTTCTAGACTCCAGTCTTCTTATCTGCAAATGGGGTCAGTCATGGTCTCTAATTGCTATGAGGGTTAAATGAAAGTCTGCTTGGAACAGGGCCTGGCACAGAGTAGATGCTTGTGTCAGCTGGTTTCTTTGGTTGCAAGCAACAGAAACTGACCAGTCATTTTAAGTGCCCAACATGGAATTTATTGGAAGGATTTTAGAGAGCTCAGAGCATGGCCAGAAAGTCTAGGGTAGGACAGAAGTCTAGAGAGAGATCAGAAACCACTGGCCTGTTTGAGAATGAGAGCACCCATCCTCCCCTCTGTCCTTGCCTCCTCTCTGCTTAAGTCTCCGCATAAGCCCGGTCCAGCAGGGCCCCTGATGGCTGAGCTGAGGCAGGTTATGGGCAGGAGGCAAAGCCCCTGATGGATGGTGCCTCTGGGGCCCCTCGGAGAGGGAGAGCAGGCACCTGGACCATGGCTCCTGAGGGCCTGGCAAATGGTCTCCCTCTCTCTGCCCTTTTTAGGAGGGGCAAAAGGAGGCTGGTTATATAGGTTGGGCTCAGTGCTGTGGTGTGTGTGTGATGACAGTAACTTGGCTGTCTTGTGTCTGCAGCTCCTAGTAAACGGTACTCAGTAAATGTTACATGGATGAGTGAATGCATGCATGCATGCATATATAGACTGTGACTTTGTGGCCAGCTGGTGAGTATGGGGCCATATCACACCATCATTTTGCCTTGTGTCAAAATAGGTCTTTGGGTATCCTATGACCTGCCCTATCCGCAACCCCCACCCCAGCCTAACTGTGCAGGGGCCTCACTGGCTGAAGGTGGTAGCCCCAATGTGGAAGGGGCCTTGGGCCCAGAGAATGGCAGATAACTCCTTATAAGTTGGCCTCATACTTCCCTGGG